TCACCTCCTCTCCTTCCCTTGCTCCCTTTCCTTCCTTCCTTCCTCCCTCCCTTTCCTTCCTTCCTTTCTTTTGAAAGATCTGTCCTTAAAGGTTCCAGTGACATAAAGTAAGAACAGAGCTGTGACTGCTTTACCAGTTTTCTTTTTATTGGGAAAAAAAAAAGAAAAATTGGTTCTCCTTTTTTTTTTTTTGGATAAAATAAGATCCCAGGATGCCCCTTCATCTATCATGGGGCCATATATAATACCACAAGTAGCTAATACAGAATGTCAAGGCAACGGGAATAAAAGCAAGAGAAAATTCAATTGAGATTGCTCCTGCTTCTTGACACAGAACCCACAGGACAGAACATTCTTTCTACAATAGCTTGGTGAAGTTTTCAATTTTACTTAAAAAGCCTTAACATCTCTTTCCGTAAAAGGTTTAATGTCATTCCTTTTATAGTAGTAAAATAGACATCATATTCACTGTACTATGCATGCATTTAACTGCAGAAGTACAAATATATGCTTTTTCCCACACATAGTCATACACACATAAACAGTGATCATGTAAATGACCCTATTATAGCTGATTTTTATTCTTTTCTCTGTAAAAGTTTTGAATATAGTGTAGCACAATTTAATGCTCCAACTCTCCTTCCATGCAACTCTCCATCCTAATGCTCATATCTAAATACTATTTCAGGAAGTTTAGAAGCGTATAAATAGCTCAACATACTTAAATATGTGTGTGTGTGTGTGTGTGTGTGTGTGTGTATGCACATATATGTGTGTGTTTGCATGTGTGTGTGTAAGATAAGTTAGAGGATAAAAAATTGATGAACATGGCCAGAGAAACACTTATCAAATAATCTGAAATATTAATAGCAAATAGTATACATGGCAAAACAATTTAATTGGTTTTATAGATATTTCTTGATTGTATTTATATTTTTAATCTTGCTCTTCTGGTAGGGGCTACTCACAGAACAGTCTTCTTGAGTATTCAGCCCTGGAACCTACATCCGTACTGTACATAATTTGATTATTTCTGCTTTTTTGTAAAGCTGTGTGTCTGCCATGCCTAAGGGCTGAATACAGATTCTGTTTTGCATATGTAAGTATACCTAAGTATTTAAACTTTTTGAAAAGTAGAGCTGGTCCACAGATACAGCACAGTATTGTGTATTATTTGAGCATCAGTACAGAAAATAAAATTTTGATTGCTGATCTTGAAAGACTCTGTAGTCCAGAATCATGAATTAAGTCTGTATTCATGTAAATTGTACTGCTACTCTGACTTTGAAGGTAACAACACCAGTAACACTCTTATTTACCAGCATATACTTTCATTTAGGTCTATACCAAAGCATGAACTGCTGATGTCAGTGGAAGCGCCACAGGAGTAGTTCACATAGAGGTTAAACATGGAACTGATATTGTGTGGAATTGATATTTGATTCCCAGATCTTCTACATGTAGACACTGTCTGTTTCTACCCGTTACAAGATCCAAGTAGAAAATCTGCAATGTCCTCTGAGAAGGGTATGTCTCTCTGGTCTGTTCATGGTCATGTGTCTTTGAACGAGGAAGTTCTCATTCTGTGTGCAGTCTATCAGAAGCTTTTGTTATTTCCAAGATGCTTCCTCACTTATCTGGAGCTGCATAGGTAGGAAAGATATATTACCTGCAAAAGACTTTCTAGAATGGATGTGAAAAGTTCAAGAGAAGTTCGTGAAAGGAGTGCCACCACTGATTTGAAACTATTAATGTGTGAAAGAGCAGTAACATTACATGTGGTTCTACTGTCTTTATCACCAACTCAATGACTCTGCACTGTGGAGAGTGAAGTCTCAAACTGACGTGTACAAAACCGGAGTCTTTTGCAAACAGAACTTCTTAAGCATTACTGATGTTTATTGTCTATCTGTATGGATCTTCTTGGGACCATCCTGTCTTATGAAATTGGATTTCACTTGATTGATTCACTGTTTACAGTGAAATCTGTAGGCCAGTAAATAAGATTTTGCCATTACTAGTAGATAGCCACTGGTTTTGTGTTGACCTGGCGGTGTAGGGTCTCAGGACTTGGCTTGGTTTGAGCTTGTTTTAACCGTTGTCAAATGACCAAATGACTCTTTCCTAACCTGTTTAATTTAAGGTCTGTGAATACCATGTATCATAAAAGCAGTCACTGCTTTAAAACGAGTAGCTTTTCTATGTCAGTTGAGGTGGTGTGAAGCTATAGCGCAATTTTCGAACTTTAGCTGGGATCCAATGACAAGGAAGCAGACTGCGATAAGAAAACATATGAAAACAAACCCAAGTGGATGTTAAAAGTGAAGAGGAGCGAGAAATCCTCACCACGAACATCATATTCCTCCCAGTGAAGACCTCAGGACGCTGACAGTTCTTTGTAACACCACCCAAGCCCTCATTCTTCCTGAGGAAGAATGAGATGGGCAATCATACAACCCAGAGGAATATCGGAAGTGAGAAAGCAGTAGACATTAGGAAGACTTTTACAGCTTAAGCTGAATTGTTAATGGCACTTTTCTGTATTAATTAGATAACTTGCATTAATTACAAATTCCTAATTCCACATAAAAGGTGTGTTACCTTTTGTGTATAACAAGTTTTTGAATGTGACAGATCTGTATCACTGGTTATCTAAAAATGCAGTGAATAGCAGCACAAGTGAAACAGTTAAGTTCTTGGTCATGCACAATGCTGTCTAATTTTCTCACATGTCAGTCATTCCCCTCATGTAGATATACCATGCTGTATCAGAAACATTCTTTTAGGTAGGAAAACATTTCCTACCTTCCAGACATCATTTTAAAAGGGAATAATCTTGACATGTGATGGTACACTGATTTCAGTCATTCTATGTTTAAAGTATTTAATCAGGATATTCACAGACATGTTAAGGAAGACACTGTATTATTAGTATCTATAACTATATGTCCTTTAATCAGCTTGCTATGGTGGGCAAATTTCAGACAATTCCTTCTCTCGGGCTAGGATTGATCAGTTGTGTGTTCAGCCAGATTTTCCGCTTTTCAACAGACTTTTCAGATCTTTAGCTCTTACCTTGGAAAGCAGGGTTCCTGACAGCTCACTTACTACCTTAAAGTTCTCCAGAAATACAGAAAGTTCTTTTTTAATATTTCATGATAGAAATGGTAATTTATTGAGACATTTTCACAAGAAATTTAGTGCCAGAGGCTTATGGTTGATTTTGATAGATATAGTCAGCCCTAAATTGAAATGTGAAAGGATTCACAGGTGGTTAGTAGATATTCTTTTGAAAATACCTTTTCTTTGTTTTAGACAGTATTTGCTGCATATATGCTATGAGCCACAATTCGCTATTTTCTTTTTTCTGAAACGGTTCAGACCTTATACACTCAGCTTTAAAATAGACAAACTGACAGTGAAACTGAACGATTTCTTAATCTTATTAAATGCCTCATCTGCACCAGACACAATATCTGCTTTCAGATATTTCACTCTTTCACCCTATGCCTTATAGAGAATTCATAAGATGTCAGCTATTCTGCATATGAATTTGCCTAAAAAAAATCTTAAGTAAATAAGACTTCAATTCAGTGTTGTCAATAATGTCAAGTGAAAATGGCCCTTCTTTTGTTCTTATCAAGGTGAATAGTGACATGGGTGGTTATTTGATCAGGAAATAACTGCTATCTCTTCCAAATCCTTCATTCTTCATGCATTAGGAAGGTGCAGCTTCTTGTAAAACTTGAATTAATTTTGGCAAAGAGTTTTTGTTCATCTTGACCTTAGAATCATGAACTGTTAGGTAGTGTGATAAAAGGCTCAACTCCACATATATGAAGGACCACAGAGGCACAACGGCACGTGAGGGAATCCCCAAACCCAGTCAAAGACATGAGCCCCTGCTCCAGTCCCCCAGAGCATCAGCCCCCTGGGCCAGGGGAACACTCGTCACCATGAGTCAGGGACAGGCTCTCTGGGGCACCTCACAGACTGAGGGGTCCCTGCCTGCGGGTGTGGGGATCATTATGGGATACAGGGGAAGAGCATTCAGGGGTTGCACAATACTTACTATGGGATGTTCAGGGGAGGAATCAAAGCTGGGGAAGGGAGGGATCAAAGTGGTTTGGGAATGAGGAAGTAGGGGGAAGGGGGTTAAAGGGACTGATTGCTTGTAAACAGTCTGCTGGTCAGAATGCTTGCCTGGCCATGCCCTGCCTTAGTCAGCACAGTCTGTCCTATCTTCCTACTAAAATCCATTTCTCTCTATTTTCCTGGGTGAGGGGACTCTGTATTCTGTGGGCATGTGTGTATATGGAGGTCTAAGTGCCAGCAACTGGAATGGGGACCGTAAGTCACAGGGGCCAGCAACTGAAGAGGCAGCAGTGCCTGCATATTATATGGCTATGTACACTGGTGTGTGATCACTAATGAATATCAAGCTAGACTATCTGGGGAGTCAGATAAGAGGCTTGGGAGCCAGCTATCGAAGCAGCCATAAGTCTGGGCTGGATACTGGAGAAACTGTGGGGTCTGGGGATTGACTGACAGACACGTTTGCATGTGTGTGTCTGCATGAGGCAATTGGAGACAAGAGGATCCAAGGGCCAGTATCGGGGTAGGCTTTCTAAGGGCAGTTACCGGAAGAATCCATAGTGTATATGTATACTTCCCACTAACAGATTTCATCCTTACCATCCAGAGAGTGGGGCAGAATCAGGCCATTTGTGCCATCTGTGTTTGCATGAGTATTTCTGTTTGTGTGGCCAGCTTTGCAGCTATCTATGCATATACGTATATCTCTATCATATACTTGTGTTTGTGTGTGTGCTTATTAATGTTCACTAATGGCTGGACTTGGGGACAGGGAGCTGCAACAGCCTTGCCTCTATTAGGCTAGTGGATTCAGCAGCTGCTAACCTGAACCCAGACAGCAAAACAGCCTTCCCTGTTCTTCCATCATCTTTGAAAAATCTCAGGCGCATATGAAATTCCCAAGAGTGGGCATCTGATTCTTTATTTCATTCGGGCATTGAATTTGAAATTGAAAGCAAATGACTCCTGAAAGGGTGTCTGTCAAATACTCTGAGCTGAAACAAATTTGCACATTTTTTTTAGCACCATGGTACTGACTAAGTCTTTGCTAGTGACTTCAGGGTCCCACACTTTTGTTGATCCATCAGATGTTGATATGGATGTTCACATCTCCAGGGAGCACATACCTGTTAGAAGGTTAATCAACCAAGTCCATAGTATCTTGTGGATCAGCTCTTGGAATTGATTCTTGACAGCCATCATAGGGGAAATGAATTTTGATGAAATGCTATGGTGAGAAGAGACAGTGTTTCTTTTGCTTGCTTGATCATGTAATGTTCTTTCCATTTTACTAGGCTGTACAGAAATCTTAGGAATTCTCATATTGGATTTACCCTAAAGCTGAAATTTGACTCCAGGCTACTTGTGCATTCAGGCATAACATTTTGTCTGTCTTAGAATTCAGCATCAATTATTCAAGATTTTTGACTACACTTTCCCTCCCATCCCCTTGCAGATGCTATTTTGTATTTCAGCTCCTTCTTCTGACAGTTCTGAAATTCTCACAGTTTGCTAGGATTTCTTCTGAGGTGTGAATAATTTGCTGTAGGTGTAGCAGAGCTGGAGGTGACCAAACATTTTTGAAAGGCTCATTGTGGATGTTGAGTCCTTGTCAGTCTTGTAGCAAGTTGTCTATAATACTCCAGCCTAACAATTTAACTCAGGATGTATTCTGTTCTGCAAAGGTTTTCTTGCTCTTGTCATCAGCGCATAGTTCACATATCCTGGATTCCTGTGAGTCCAGCAGTCACCACTAAGATGGTTGAGGGGGCAGAGCACACAGCGTATGAAGAGAGGATGAGAGAACTGAGCTTGTTCAGTCTTAGGAAGAGAAGGCCAAGAGGAGATCTTTCTACTGTCTTCAGTTACCTGAATGGGAGGATATAGAGAAAACAGAGCCAGACTTTTCTCTGAGGTTCACAATGACAAGAGAGGTAAGCTGGAGCATTGAACATTTCAATTAGCTATACGGAGATTTTTTGTTTTCAGCATGAGGGTAGTCAAACACTGGAGAGGTCATAACCCCAGAGAGGTTGTGGAATCTATGTCCCTGGAGCTATTCTAAATTTAACTGGACATGGCCCTGAGCAACATGCTATAAACATGGCTCTGCTTTGCCTGGGAATTTAGACTGGATGATCTTCAAGGATGTCTTCCAACCTGAATTGTTGTATGATTCTAGATGTGTTACAATATGCATAGCAGCCCATAGGTGTCCTTCTTAAGATAAGGCATTATCTGGCCTCTTTCATGAGTCACTCATTTCAGGTACATGCATTGATAATAAGTGTTTTCTACTTACCACTGGCATTGTGATCACTCTTACACAATTTGGCTCAGCTTTTGAACTTTGGCATGGGGATATGATATAGTTAGCAATGCCCATAAGATTAGTAGGCTCACGTAGCACTTCTTAATACTTCTTAAGGCTTTAGGCTTTTCCAGCTGTTTTTTTTTTTTTTTTTTTTTTTCAGTTCTATTTTTGCTCTACCCTCAAGGCATCAAACAGCATAGGTGGTAACTACTCTGCCATATAGTGGTCTCTTACTATAACTGATAGTAGCTCATATCATTTTTTTAACTAAGTCTTCTGGTGAAGATACTACAGCGAAAGGATCACAGCAAAAATTTCCATGGATTCTCTCTCCTCTTGGAACAGGAAAAGAGTATTTCTTATATGTGACATTTCAGAAGAGACTGCACATTTGTAAAATTTACTAGCAATGACATTATACAGGTAAACTTTTTCAGTCATCAGGCTAAGGAACAGAATAGTATCTTCATTCTGCAACACTATCAGATATAGAACAATGTAAATAAGCTATCTTTTGGGCTTTTTTTTCAAGCTGATGGTTGTTCAAAACGTGGAAATTTGCTCTCCATTTGACTCACTCATCACATAAGAGTGCTTTGTCATAAAGTCGTGCCTAATGGACAAGAATACTGCAGCTTATGGTTGTTTTGTTTCTACAGGCCTACAGAATTCACTGTTTCAGTTTCAGGGATTTCCATATGAACCTATGTTGAAATAATGTAATATTTTTATTGATTTTATCAGAACTATTTCAAAGCCCTTCTTTATGCCATTCATCCTCTATATTAGGCTACATAAAGATATGTGCTTCTTGGAAAAGCCCCCAATCCCATGATGACCAAAGGTTTATGTTTCAGTCAGCTTTGGAAAAATGAACACAACATTTATTACTACACACAGTCTTAACAAACTGGTTATTTAGGAAGAGATTAAATGAAGGAGTTTAAAAGGACCAGTCAATATGAGAAGATAAAAAGGCACATGATGTGAAGATGAGGTTAAATTAGTGTATCAAATGTCGCAAAAATGTAAAACCAACAGACAGTCAGCGCAAGGCATAAAGAAGTTCAGTCAAAAGACAGAAAGAAAGAAACAAACAAACAAAATTCTTTAATCTTCCTGAAAACCTTTTCCTTGTCCAATTTCTCCTACCAGCTGGAACTTGTGCCTGACTACCCTTCGTACTTTTTGGTCTAAGTCCACACAAGGAAGGTATTTTAATTTTGGTGCTGCACTACTTATAGAACTAGGAGAATATTTTTTCTTAGTTTTAGAACAGGCAGCTTAGAAAAATAATGATTCATCTTGTGGCCATCTGTAGTTCCTGCTTAGGGTGCCCAGTGCTTCTGTTGGCTGACTCTTTTAAGAACTGCCTCTTTACATTCATTTTCCCCAGAAAATAAGTCCAGGAAGATTCACGGATTGCTAGTATTAGAATATTACATGCTGAATGATTCCTCCTTCATTTTTTACCATGATTGTACTTATAGATACAGTATTACATTTATTGATGCATTCTGAAGTCAATGAATTCAGCTAGTAGTATCACATTCCCTCCTTTGTTATATTTCATTTTTATTTAAAGGCTTATGTGCATCTTCTGTCTCTATGATTTTTAAAAACACATCCACACAAGATCAGAGAAGCTGTTGAAAATTCTAGACGTAAAATAGGGTAAATTACCAATGTGATATCATTGATGCTACCTGTGTGGGAAGGAGTTTGCATCAAATAACTGGTCCAGCTCACAGTTTCACCCGTTCTCCAGGAATCTTGACCTAACTGGATTTTGTTAATCAGTAAGAGTTCATTTTTCAGAACCTGTAAGAGTTCTCAGAGTTCTCTCTCAGTTGCACAGAAATTAGCATAAACATGACAGAATCCACAAAAGTAGATTAAATATATATTACTTTTTTACATGATGCTTATTCTGTGCAGTCTTTCTTGTCCATAAAATACCTAACATAGTATGCAGTAGTCATCTTTATCATCATCAACTGGAAATATTTTTACTTCTTAATACTTGTGTATACTGAGCTATAGAAATGTTAAATAGAGACATTTTCATGTAACGTAGTTACAGTTATGAAGCTGTTCAGGCCTATTCTTGTTTTCTTTTTTCTTTTTAGTTCTGGATATATCTTCTTAAGGTGAGCTTGGTTCAAAGTATCCTTTCTAGATGGGCTTTTTGGGGATACATACTCTGTCTACTTCTCTGTGCATTTACACCAAGTGTGACTAGGCCAACTAAAAATATCTGTCTTGACTTAAGCTGTAAGACACCAGTTGGCTTACTTATTCTTAAATGCAAACAGTGAGCTGGGAGCTCTGAGTTGAGAACTATTGTGCAGTCTAGAAGACACCTACATGCTGGGACACAGAAGCAATTAATGTTGATGAGCAATTAAGTTGTAGGAAGCTGTGCAGACTTGTGAGAGTTACCTAAGAGGCTGAGGACATGCCTGATCTCACGCAGAGATGAAGTCCCTTAACTGATGATTTCTTGTCTGCAGGACAGACACCATCTTCTATGTTCTGAATGCTCATCACTGATAGAAAGGAGTCAAAGACTTGCTAACTGCATCATTCCTTTGTATGATGGTAGCATACAGTGGGCAGACCAACTGCACTTTTCCTGTAAAAGCTGTCTTAATAATTCCAAGTTTTATAAGAAGCTAGCTTTTGCTTTGTCAACACCAAAGTCTGCACATAAACTGTATCTAAAATTTTTAAAGGCATACATATATTCTTTGTGAATGCACTTTTAGAAGTTCTAAAACACCTCATATTTTTTAAGTTAAATGATGAAAATGCTAAGTTTGTCCTAACCACTATACCCATTATTATCAAGCAATAATTGTCTGTGAAAGAAAAAGAATCTTAAATTTCTCTTGTCTACCTGCAGATTTTTTTTTAATTTGGTTTCTATCTCAAAAAATAGTTTTCATAAAAATAAAAAAAACTCCAAAAGTTACATACAGTTTGAATATACTTAAATGAAACTATATTTCAAAGAAAATGATTACAATTACAGGGCAGTTAGTTTAAAAATTATGAGAAAGTTCAGATTTTCTTTCCTCATTAGAAGAACCCTATTTCCAATTAGTTAAAACTTAACACAAGAGCACATTTTCCCCCTAAATCTTATCTCATGCTTCTATATTCTCTGTCATCCACTTTCCTCTCCAAATACAAACATGCTTTGTCCACTATTTATTAATTTATTTATACATTTATTTGAAAGTGTGATTCTCAATTGACTTTGAAGAGCTCAAGATCAAGAAGATCAAGAGGTTTTAGGAAACCTCACAGCTCATATACTTTAAGCTTTCAAGTTCTTAGGAGTTTTATTAATTTTTCAGAGTTCCCAATTTTCTTTGATCTCTTTCTGACTCATGTAGTTTTCTGATGCTTTCTAGAAATATTGTATTTTCATATGTTCTTTTGTTGGAAAGAGGCAGTCGATTTAGAGGTTAGTATCACATTTTAAAATCCGTTCTCAAAATCGGTACAGCTTCTGTGTGAACAGCATGTTATTAAATGACTCAGATCCGTTTCTTATGTAGGGTTCACAAGCATCTGTCATAGGGAGAGTGGGTGGGGTGGCCACTAGAATAAAACCACATAATTTGGGGATATATAATCTAGTTTATTTGGTTGGCAGTATGGGTACAGCAGGTGGATAGCAATCACTGCCGTGCAAACACAGCTCACACAAGATATAAATTACATCTTCAGTCCCATCAGTCCAGTCTAAACCAGCTCAGTGCAGATGACCCAGCAGAACAGGACGTTTGCTCTGACCAGGCAACATGCCAGGTCCATGGCAGAAGCTTGGCCTTTATGCGTCGCCGTTCCTCTCCTTGGGCTTCAACTTCTGCACAACTTCTGCACCAATGCCTGTGTCACCTTTTCCCCAAACTCCCTTTTCCTGGGGCAATTATCTTAACTATTTACTGCTTTCTAGATTAGATCATATGCATAAACCTCCAACGACTTTGCTAATCCTGTAGTCCTGGGCCAATCTCTTTACCTTTCTCCATCCTGGGGGCAAATTAGTGGTTATACACCCAGTTTATATCACCTTCCGGGCTACTGCCAAAGTGTACTACCAAAAAACTGTTGTCTTTTATCAAGTGGTACCAGATTAACGTAGTCAGTTCAAACTGGGCTGATGTAGTCAGGTCTCATTTGTTTGAGTTTGGTAGCCAGGTGGGCTACAATCAGTTACAACAGCCAATACTTCAAAAGGAATAACACAAATGCTCAAAAAATGTTCAAAAAGTTCAGAAGGATGTATGGTAATATGCATACCTTTCAGAAAATTTTCAGTTCTCACATACATTCATAGAAACAATGAAAATTTAGGAGTAAAATCCTATGTCTGGTGAAGTGAGAGAGAGGTTTTCTATTGATCTAGCATAGTCCAGAATTTCATCTTAGTCATTTGCATTGAACATCTACCTTAACCTTGAGATTCTGGGATTCCATAGTTCCCTTTCATATTTGTATTTGGAGTAACTTATCCCTGATATTCAGATCTTTATTTACTGGG